GGAATTAATTTAAACAGAGACACCAAATTGCTAGACAGTAGTTATTTTGACATACTTAAAAAATAAGCTGAATCATAGTTTAGAAAAAACATTGGTAATAAATAAATACATCACGCTCTCTACCTTGACATTTGTTATCTAGACTTCGCAACACACACTTGAAATGTCGAGAAGAAGAACTTGTTAAAACGATAATGTGAGTTGAAAGATTTTTTAATTTTCTCTGATATTAATTTAATTCGCGTAAAATATCCACAGCATGATTAAATGTCGCAAAACTTGGAATCTTAGACCAATCGTCTTACTCATCTATTGGTCATCAGCGAAGAATCGTTTAACTTTGTATTTTAATATTTAATCAACTTTGTATTTTAATATGTAATCAACTTTGTATTTTAATATTTAATCAACTTTGTATTTTAATATTTAACTTTGTATTTTAATATTTGATTTTTATGTATTGAAAAAACTGTAGTGCAGTCAAAACGTTTACGCTGTATATTGTTTTTCTAACGGAATGAGAATTTAATTATTTAATTATTAATAAATCTTTAGATCTTATTTAATTGCTCGTTTAGTTGGCCTACAATATTTACCTTTTTTTAAATCTACAATAATTTTCTTACATAAATCAATCCCTCAAACAACTATTTGTTGTGTAAACAAGATGCTTGTTGCATTAAGAATTTTGGTAGAAGTAGTAATTCCATTTCGTTCATTCTCGAACAGAATTTTTGTTAATGCAATAAGATTTTTTACAGTTTGTGATTAAAAATTTGCAATTTGTAATGTGCAACTGTATATATTTTCTTAAAAATAGCTATGTTTTTTTTACTAACAAGGAAACGGTCGGAACTGACCTTCACCGATTTTAATGAATTTGGAATATGTTTTAGAGCATTGAAAAATATTGGATTGAGTCATTTTGGTTTTTTACTATGATATTCAAAGACGATTTTTTTATAGAAAGAAATAATATTATTCAGTGTATTGACCATTTTTTTTGATGACCTTTTGCCATCTTTTGGGTAACATCATGATGCCACGCTCAAAGAACTTCTGACCTTTATCAGCAAAAAACTGAAGCAAGTGCTGTTTGACACCATTGTCTAAATTGAATTGTTTACCATTCAAGGAGTTTTGCAAAGATCGAAACAGATGGTTGTCGGACAGCAATGGACATCCAAGCTCCAGCAACTTCTGGCGGGGCACCAAACTTGTGTGTGGTCTCGCGTTGTCATGGTGGAACAGAACACTCTTACGATTTGCCAATTCTGGCCGCTTCTCATTGATGGCTTTATTCAATTTGTCCAATTGACGACAGTACACACCTGTATTGATGGTTTGGTTCTGTGGTAGTCGCTTAAAATAAACGACGCCTTTGTAATCCCACCAAATTGAGAGCATAACCTTCTTTTGATGAATATCTGCTTTCGAAGTGGTTGCAGCTTGTTCACCGGGCTTGCACCATGATCGTTTTCGCACGACATTGTCGTAAACTATCCATTTCTCATCGCCAGTGACAATATGTTAGAAAATGGATCATTTTCATTGTTTTTTAAGAGCTTGTCGCAGGAATTTATGCGCTTTGTTAAGTGAATTTTTTTAAGTTTATGTGGAACCCAAATATTGAGCTTACTAACGTCCCAGCTTGTGCAAATGTCTTTCCACGGTCGTTTGAGAAATGTTTAATATTTCTGCCACTTTTCGAGTCGTGTAACAGCGGTTTGCTTCGATTAATGCCTTTATTTTGTCGTTTTCGGTTTCAACTGACCTTCCTGAACGTGGCGCATCTTTGACATTGAAATTACCGGAACGGAATTTGGCAAACCAATTCTGGCACTGGCGTTCTGTTAAGCAATTTTTACTGTACACAGCACATAATTTTTTATAGGCTTGCGTAGCGTTTTTTCCTTTTCTGAAGTAAAAAAGTAAAACATAGCGATATTCCTTGGTTTGCTTTTCCATCTTTCGACCACTGCTGTACGACGACTACTGAATCGATTCACTTATTTTTTTTTAAATGACAATTGAAGTGCCTACTGTTAAATGGTATTTGGATTAGATGATTGGACTGAAGATAGTTGGTTAAAAATATAAGTGTAGACATCTATTGGTAAAAACCGAAATGACTTAAGACTCAACTTAATATTAGACCCGTATTTTTTTAGCTGTGTATCTCGACATTTAGGAGGTAAACCATCCTCTTAAAAATCGGTTTTTTAATTTCTGAAATAATATCGTGGAAACGGTAAAAGATATTTAAAAATGTTTCAAATAAAAGTTATATAGTTTTTAATGGTCTTTAACGCAGTGCAATCAAATTTTTCAAAAATATCTAATTTTTCGAATTCTCCCCTCCTCTCCAATAATTTTTGAAGATTAAAAAATTTCTTTATAACAATCCTGAAAGCCTATTTAATATCAAATCCATATATAATAAAGTTATATTGCAACAACGCAATTTTTAGAAAAAAGTTAGAAATGCCATTATACGCGCTCCATTCGTATCGGCCAAACGCTCGCTACTCGTGATGACCGTCTTTCCTTCATAATCTCTCTCAGAAAGAATAAATTATCAATAAAAAATTTATATATTACAATTTATATTGTATATTGTACTTAATAATTAATAATTATATAAATATTTAATAATTTAATTTATAACAATTTATATATTTATAAACATAAAAGTTTATAAAAAGTAATTAAAATTTATAAATTGAAACTTTTATTTTTTATATATTTAAATATGATAAAACAATTGTGTAGCAATAAATAATTTACATATATGTAAATTGAGAATGAGAAAGTATGTTTCAAGTAAAAAAAAGTAGAGCCAATCAAGGCAAATCAATAAGAAAAATCTCAAATTGAATACTTAAAACGTCGCTAGTGATATTTAGAATAGGAACGATATATTAAATTCGACCCAAACTAGCCAAAGAAAATTTTTATTTTATTTCTACAACGACAACAGTGTCAACTAACTGCACTTTTATTAAGAAAATATGTAAATCTTAATTTCTTGCGTTTAACATCAAAATATTTATCTTTATTAATTTTAATTAATTGTATTATTCTAGTTTCTCATTTGAAAAGGACCAAAAACAGATGGTCGAAACGTTGTGGAAATAAAATAAAAATTTTTTTTGGCTAGTTTGGGCCGAATTTAATATATCGTTCTTATAAGAAAAATCTCTTTGTACTAAACATTTTGTATGCGCAAACGCGTGAAGGAGAGCGCGAACTGGAGAGCCAAATAAGCTAAGCCACGTTATTTAATTAACACAAAAGTTTAATTACTGACACAATTTACAATACAAAATTCAACAAAGAGTTCCAATTGGAGATCCGAAATCGTTTAACAATAGACAAGCGAATTAAGTACGGTCGTTAGCGGTTTTACAAGCGGTTTAACAGCGGTTTAACAGCGGTTTGGCGTGTAAGAACTCAAAGACTCGGCCGCGCAATTTGGGCGCTTCTTTTATCATTGCGGTGCTGAAGCCCCACTAATTTTAATGCGCCAATTAATTTCTGTTAATTTAAAAGAGGCGAAGGTGACGCGAGGGCGCCTGTCGTAATTGGCTGCCCGTGATCTGCGCGAAATAAGTACGCGCCTGGCATGCGCAAAATGCTCGATAACGTGATCGATTGGCTTTCGGAAGCCACGTGACTGCGCGGCGCATGTCTCTTACGAGGCTGATTAGGACGGTATTAGATATTTTCGGTTGAACTATGTTGTGATAGTTGACATATTTTTTATACTAATCCTAATTTATTGCCTACTTGTTTGTCTCCGGTGAACCTTTTTTTGGTTTTTTGGTATATTTATATATGCAAATGTCGATTTCATACGATCGAGATAATTAACTTAATGAATTATGATTTTCTTTTGCAATTTTGAACACATTTGTTTCACGAGCATCATGTTTATAATCAATATAAACTATAAATATGTTCACGTACCTATATATGAATCTTATATCTTTCGTGTGGGATTTTATAATGTACGATGTATTTCATGTATATTTATACAAAACCATATAATGAATTAAAGCACTTATTAAAGTGTTTTGTAATATATTTATTTATTTCTCCTTCCTTTTAAAAATAAAATTTTATTTATATATAAAACAGAATTAATCCTTCATTGTTAAAATATATTTTTTATTATTGTAATAAAAAAGAACTTTTCAGATACAGGTATCCTATCGAGTGCAACGTAATTAATTTTAAAAAGACATATAATAAAAACATATTTATTATATATTATTTAAAAAAATTAAATATTATTTAAAGAAATTAAGACTAATGCTGAACAATAAATTCTTTATTAAATTAAATTACGTTTCAACCTCTGGTTTAGGTCTTTGTTGCGTAATGATTACGCTGAGGGCATGTGTCCACCACACGTGTCTCTGGAAGGAGTGCGTCAGCGACAATGTGGTCGAAAAGATTTTTGACTCTTCTTCTTTCACAATGTTTATTTGCTTCGGTTAGAATACAAGCTAGTTTCGTTGCACTTAAGGGTATAACTGAAAGCGTTATCGCGGGTAAAATATACTGAACGCCCTTGTTCTCGCGAAAATGTGTCGCTTTACGCGTGCGTCCGCTCTTCTCCGCGATCGAGTTAGCTCTGGTCCGCTCGCCCGAGTGGGAAGCTCCTAGGCACGAGTATTACTACGCGCGATAAGGCGCGGTCCCAAATTCGCGCGTGAAAGACAAATTAAAATGAATCGTTTTTACGATACAGCGCCGCCCGCCTTGAAAGAACTGACTTTCAAAATAAACGTAAAATAAATTGCTCTTTGGTTTGCACGACTATGCGTTCCTTAAAGAACGGAAAACCGCAACTTACAAATAAATTGAATAATATTGCCTGTAGATACCTAGTAGTTATCTTAAGCTAAACAGTCGTAGACGCGGTAAATACAAACAAAATACATAAATGAACAAGGTATATATAGATAAAATGAATACAAATAATTTGCACGAAATTAACAAGCCGCGTCCAACGACTCCATGGGAACTATCGCGAGGCTAGACAAAGATCGCGTAAAAGAACTTTTGGCGGTTTTAACAGTCGCAGTACGCGGAATCTCGTCTGCTCCGACGTGAATCTCTGTCACGTGCCCTAGAAGCCAATGCAACGGAGCTAAGTTTGGCTGTTTTATGAGCACTATTTGATCTGGTTGCAATTGAGGTCCCTTATCGGACTTCCACTTCGAACGGGATTGTAGTGAATTTAAGTATTCACAGCTCCACCTGCGCCAAAAGTGTTGTCTGAGCTGCTCCACTCGCTCCCATCGTACCAAGCGATTCTCGTTTACATCACCTAGGTCGGGACAAGGGGGACTATTCATAGCGGCGCCAATCACGAAGTGACCCGGACTTATATAAGAAAGAGCATTCGGATTTGTGCTTAACGCGGTGATAGGACGCGAGTTCAAAATTGCTTCTATTTCGCAGAAAACTGTTTGCATCTCCTCAAACGTTAAATGAGCGTTACCAATAACGCGCGTCATATGGTACTTCGCAGATTTCACCGCTGCTTCTCATAAGCCGCCGCAGTGTGGCGAGTGAAGAGAAATGAAATTCCAGCTAATTTGTTGATCGCGAAGGAATTGTTTTATATTGTCCTGTGTTTGGTCTTTATTTAGAAATTCAAAGAATTCTTTAAGCTGATTTTTAGCGCCGACAAAAGTAGTTTCGTTATCGGAATACATGAGATGATTTCCCTCTACGCGATATGAAATGCTTGAAAGCGGCTATAAATGTTTCAGTGGTTAGATTACTTACTACTTCTAAGTGTATCGCCTTAGTCGCAAAACAAACACAAACAGATATGTATACCTTATGGTTTCGCACATTTCGACGTTTACCCTTCTTTAATGTTATAGGACCCGCGTAATCAACTCCACAATGCGAGAATGGCCTCAAAACTGTTACGCGACCCGCGGGCAAGGGAGCCATTAAAGCTTCAGAAAACGTAGGCTTGGCCTTAAAACATTTTACATAACCTAAATGATTTTGCGTGCAGCGAATCTCAAAGACAGAGGCCAGAATTGCTGTCTGACGGCAACCATAGTAGCTTGGATTCCCGCATGCATGTTGCGTATATGCTCTTGTATTATTATTCCTTTCGTTAATTGTTGATCACGAGGTAAAAGTATAAGATGACATGCCGCGAAAGACAAATTTGAATTCTTTAATCTGCCCCCTAGACGAACTAATCCTTGTTCGTCCATAAACGGAGATAATGATAAAATCTTGCTAGAGGGATTGATAGGTTTGCCGTTGGTTAACGCCTTGCATTCTTCGGGAAAAGAGCGCCGTTGAATTAGCTTACACATCAGATGCAATGCCGCTGAAGTTTTTTCATGCGATATGAAACATGTTTGTTGCCTTGGGCTTGCCCTTGCAAATCTCAAGCAGTAAGCTAAAATACGGCAGGCCTTGTCCAGGTTGGAATACTTGCTTAACAATTTGTCGACTATGTCACAATCGACAATGGTGCTAGTAGTGAACACCTTCGCATTTCAGCAGCGTTTTCGTCCAGCTGAGGAAAATCATTGCTTGGCCAGTGTTTTTGATTAAGCTGAAGGAGGTTTGGTCTATGCCACCAAGTTCTAGCGTTGATTAGATCACAAGGGTTGAGTCCCCGTGACAGCATGTTGGCTGGATTCTGAGCTGACGGTACATGACGCCAGCATTTTGACCCGGTTAATCGCTGGATTTCCCCCACTCGATTGGCAACAAATACAGCCCATTTGCGAGATGGAGATGCTATCCAATTCAAAGTCATGGTTGAATCCGACCAGAGGTATATTTGGATGTCCGACAGGTCTATCGATGCTTTGATCTTTTCGATGAGATGTGCCAATAGCAGGGCCGCCGAAAGTTCTAGACGCGGTAGCGATATGGCCTTTAAAGACGCCACGCGGGATTTAGAACAGAGCAATTCCGCACGATAATTGCTGAGATTCTTTCTCGTTCTGATGTATACGCAAGCTCCGTAGGAGTGTTGACTCACATCGCAGAATCCATGTATTTGGATGGCCTGTGGATTGACCTTGAACTTGACTCGACGTGGTATTGTCAATTGATTTAATTCCACCAGCTGCGACTTGATTGTTGACCAATGAGTATGTATGTGCAACGGCGGAGATTCATCCCACTGTACGCCCAGTTTCCAAAGATCCTGAAGTATTAATTTGGCAATAACTATCGTAGGATCAATAAGACCTAAGGGATCAAACAACATAGAGACCTCAGATAATATAGTTCGCTTTGACACAGCCTTGTGTTCTGCATAGGGCGTGTATGAAAAATGAAACGTGTCAGCACCTTGATTCCATTGTATCCCCTGAACATGGGAGATAGTTTTATCCTCGATAGGGATCGGCTTATCGCTTTGGCTATCAAGCGAATCTAATAGCTGTGGGTGATTTAAAGCCCACTTGCTGAGCTCGAACAATCCCAGTTTCAATAATTGTATTGTTTCACCTCAAATCAATTTGGCTTCCTGGATGCTGTCTGCTCCAGTGAGCATGTCGTCGACGTAAAAATCATATAGAAAGTGTGTCGATCCAACTGGGAATTTCGATGCGTGCCGCTCAGCCAAATCCTTTAAACATCTTGTGGCTAAGAAGGATGCCGAGGACGTTCCGTAGGTGACTGTAATTAGTTCATAAATATTAACATTTAGGGATAGGTCATCTCGCCCCAATATCCTCTGCAGACGCGTTTGCGTTGGATGTATAAGTATTTGTCTGTACATTTTTACAATGTCAGCTACTAATACGTACGCAAATGTACGGAATTGCAGTAAGATGGACGTTAAATCTTGTTGCACAACCGGGCCAACGCTTAAGACATCGTTTAATGACACGCCCGATGCGCTCTTGCACGAAGCGTCAAAAATGACGCGAATCTTTGACGATGGTCCTGAATCTTTGAACACGCAATGGTGTGGCAAATAATAAGACTGCTCGTGTTCGTTCGGCAATTCACTTACTTGTTTCATATGGCCTAGAGATAAATACTCGGAAAAGAACCGTGTATATTGTTCCTTTAATCGTCCCTTAAGCGCTTCTAATGCTTTGATGTGTTTAGTCGCTCCGTCAGCGATATGTCGCAAATCAACTAAATTTTCTTTAGGCATGGATGGCAGGTCCATGATTGCCTTTACATGAGTTTGTACGACAACGCGTTTATTATCGTAGCGCTTCTTTAAAAGATTCCACGCGATATCATAATTTAAATCGTTAATTTCTAAAGAGTCTATGACATTGCTCGTATTACCGGTTAGCGCAGATTTCAAATATTGTAGTTTTTGTATATTATTTAGCGTGCGATTGGAATGTATAATAGAATTTAAAGAATCGTGAAAGGAAAACCACTCATCGTATTTTCCGGAAAATGTTGGCAAATTTAGTTTGGGCAACCGAACATTGAAATGAGTTTCTACCGTGTCAGAAGCGCGTGATGAAAACCGTGAGCCTTCCGTTAAGTTCGGTAATGCGGGTTTAATGAGATCCCGCATTCTTCCGGATAACGAAAAAAATGCCTCCTCAAAATTGTCACGATTACTTGCTTCATTTTCGTCGAGTGACTCAATTTGCGTTTGTACGTCATTGTAATCCGACCAATATTCGTTTAATTTAATTTTACGCTCTTTAAGTTGTGCTACGATGGCATCTATGTACGTCTTGACTCGCGTGCATGAAGCCCTGATGGTCGCGCGTTTTCTTTTGAGCGATGCGATATCAGTCATATTGAATTGATAATGAGTTTATTTGTTAATACGAAATGAATACGGGTTGACGCCGCTAAGAAATAATTACCCTTACCGCAATGTTTACACGTAACGCGATCTCGAGGAAGCCGCCTTGATGTGCCGCTCTCGCTGCGTTGGTGATCGTGCCTGCAGTCTCGTTGTCCGGGATGAATTTCTGGATGCCGTCGATAATTTCCGGATGTGGGAAGAAGCCGTCCGATTGCCTCGATAACGTCAGTTAGCCGTCCGGAAAATCGTGATATAGTAGAGATCGCTGCAATATCTGCATGTGACGTGATCTCGAGAAAGCCGCCTTGTTGCGTCGGTCTCGCTGCGTCGCTAGTCGTGTTTGCAGTCTGGTAATTCAGAATCAATCTCTGGATGCCGTTGATGATTTCTTTCAAAATATTTGAAGCTGCCTGATTGCATGAATGATGTCAGCCAGCCGTTCGGAAGATCGTACTGCAGTAGATATCGCCTGTCGCGGCGATGTAATTTGATACCCCTGTTGCGATACCGAAAGCTTACAGTGCGTTGGAGAATTTCGCCTGTTTGATTCCCGGGTTCTTCCACACTTTTCTTTCGAAGCACAGATGAACGGATAATAAATCCGGCTCGAAGGACCAACTTTGTTGCGTAATGATTACGCTGAGGGCATGTGCTCGCCACACGTGTCTCTGGAAGGAGTGCGTCAGCGATGTGGTCGAAAAGATTTTTGACTCTTCTTCTTTCACAATATTTATTTGCTTCGGTTAGAATACAAGCTAGTTTCGTTGCACTTAAGGGTATAACTGAAAGCGTTATCGCGGGTAAAATATACTGGACGCCTTTGTTCTTGCGAAAACGTGTCGTCTCACGCGTGCGTCCGCTCTTCTCCGCGATTAAGTTAGCTCCGGTCCGCTCGCCCGAGTGGGGGGGCTCCTAGGCACGCTCCCTGCCGAGTATTACTACGCGCGATAAGGCGCAGTCCCAAATTCGTGCGCGAAAGACAAATTAAAATGAATCGTTTTTACGATAGTCTTTTTCAAATGAAACTGAAACACTATAATTATATGCAACATTAATAATAAAATAAAATTGAACAAACAAGAAAGTATAAAATTGGTCTTACATTCTCTGTAAGATGACATTATAGATACAGTAGCGAGACACCCTTATAACATATCAAGCAATATATAAAAAAAACCTTGTGTCTTAAAATTCCCGATTTAGCCAACTTTCGCATCAATATTTTTCTCGCCTATTTCTTTACAGGGAAAGTTAAAAGAGGAACAAAGAGAATTTTTGAGATCCCAACCATAGGATACAAATTCTCAGATTCCTTAATTTTCTTACTTAATTTCGCAATAACATCGCGTTCGGCTCTATGGCCGAGAAGAGGAGGTGTATATCGTAATTATTAATGATGTTGGCAAACGACCATCCGTCTTTTATATGTGATTTAGGTTTTTCAATTAAATCATACCAAATTTTGTGAATGAAACACGCTACATTGTATGCCGGACTTCCAAGTAAGAATACGATGTAGTACAAAAAAAATTGTAGTTAAAAAACTGGGCGCGCTGCTAAATAATATTCTAATGATATTAAAATTAAATTGTTATTTTTAAACTCATTGCAGTTAAAATATGTTTTGTGTTTAAATTAATTAATGTTACTTTAAGGTGCATTGTAATTTTGAAACTTAGCAGCGCGCCCAGTTTTTTTAACTACAATTTTTTTATTTCTTTTTATTTTATATTAATG